AATATATTTGCTTATCCCCTCCAAAAACTTGATGACGTCACCTCGAAAATTTGCCGAATAAATCATATCTAAAATGTACAAAATATGATCAGTCTGTACTTGTGATCTATCACTCCATTCATATTTTTTGGATTTGCATATACAGGGTGATTCAAGAAAATAAATGAAAGCGTAAATTTATTTTACTGATTTACTCAGGAACTACAAAACCGAATGCTTCGAAATTTTGAAGATATTTTAAAATTATCATAAGCATGGTAAATTTTTGATCAAAACGTATTTGGTCGTCCCCCCTAAAAAATTTATGACGTCACCACAAAATTTTGCTGAATAAATCCTATCTAAAATGTACAAAATATGGTGAGTCTCTTCTTGTGATTTATCATTCCATTCAAATTTTTTCGATTTGCATATACAGGGTGACTCAAAAAAATTAATGAATGCGTAAATTTATTTTATTGATTTAATCAGGAACTACAAAACCGAATGCTTTGAAATCTTGCAGATGTTTTAAGGTTATAAAGAGCATAATAAATTTTTAGTCAAAATATATTTATTTATCTTCTACAAAAAACTGATGACGTCAGCTCAAAAGTTTGCCGAATAAATCGTATCTAAAATGTACAAAATATGATGAGTCTGTACTTGTGATTTATCATTCCATTCATATTTTTGGATTTGCATATGCAGGGTGACTCAAAAAATTTATGAAGGCGTGAATTTATTTTATCGGTTTAATCAGGAATTACAAAACCGAATGCTTTGAAATCTTGGTAATATTTTAAAGTTATTATAAGCATGGTAAACTTTTGTTCAAAATGTATTTGTTCATCCCTCCTAAAAAAATTGATGACGTCACCCTTAAATTTTGCTGAATAAATCCTATCTAAAATGCAAAAAATATGATGAGTTTGTACTTGTGATTTATCATTCCATTCATATTTTTTAGATTTTCTTAAGAGGTGGTTCAAAAAAATTAATGAAGTCAATTTATTTTATTGATTAAATTAAAGGCAACACTTATTATTAGTATTACACCCCAACCAACCCAATTTGGTAGACACAAAATTTGTTAAAGGAAAAACTCGGTTGAAACATAAGGGTAGCACGCTTATTTGCATCGACTTTAACATTACAGACCTGCATTTGTTTTATGCGCTCACTTGGTTCCGCGAATGTGAAATAGACATGTTTATAATCAACCAATTGTGAATTTCACCGTCAAGAATTAAAATAAAACCCAATGTTTTATATAATAAGCGGAAGTCGAAGCAATAAAACCGATGGTCGTTTTGTTTACAGTTTCTCTGTTTAACTCTCACGTATGCTGTTACGCCTGTCATCTTAAATTAAGAATGTTTATACAGTAGCGGTCATTTCTACGGAACCACTCGATAAAAAGTCAAGTTGGTAGCCCTGTCATCTAGTACTTTACGCCGAACGCGGTTGGTAGCGGTAGTTGATATGGCAATCGAAACTGGCACAACACGAATGTTTCGATTGCCCTCAGCTATGCCGCGCTGTATCCCGTGGAGACTGTATGTTCTGTTCATCTGTTTATTAAAATAAAATATCTACATTGACAATGGGGCCATCTAACCTGTCAAATTTTTGACACATATGTTTTCCCCCAGAAACCCGTCAAGGTCACTTACACCAAATAAATTTTGAAAATTTACACTAGGGAGTGGTTCTATAGAAAAGATCGCGACTTTACATACACGATTTTCAGTTGCCTCTGATACGGATACGTGAGTAAATTGTTTCGTTATTTTATTGATTATTACAAATCAATATTCAAAATGACCCGATTCATTTTCCCGAAAATTTGAGAATATAATAATTTTATTCTTAGTATTACACTACATCTATCCCAACTGAAATACGTGTCCTTGCAAAAATGTTGATCATCGCAATTTTTTTTTAAATTCCCACTACAAAAATGTAATGAGAAAAAAAAACACAATAGGCATGCAGTCGTCAAGTTTCCGACAGCGAGGGAAGTACTGTCTAAACTCTTTAGACCAATTTTTTATTCTTACTCTAGATCCAGATTGGAATATCGCAGTTTAATATGGTTTCCCTTTTACTCTTGTTCCACGACTATTTGGAAAATGTTCAGAAAAACTTTCCTAAATTTTATATATCCCAGAATATTTGATGTTTGTTCCATTAGGGTTTTTTTCGCATATTTTCTTTTTGAAAATAAAATATGATTTTCTAAATAAATAACATTAATTTGTTTATTTACTTTACTTATAACACAAAGTTTCCATATGTAGCTCTTACGTAATGATTTTGATTTTTTATATTCTCGTCTATAGACTGTAGAATTTTGTACGCGGTGAAATTCTAACAGTATACTAAACGAGGCAATCTAGGAAAAATTTCCACAAGAAGCAAAAACAAAACCGATTCAGTTAGAAGATTTATTTTTGTGTCACAAACTGACAAATGTGCATGTGATTCAAGGACTTATTTTTACACTCAGCTATTTTCTTCAAAGTCGTTTCACTCTTTCGATTTATTATGAAGATTTTAAAGAAGAAAATATATTAAAAAAATGTGTTTTACATATTTTATACATTATATTTATTTCTGTAGATTGTTATAATTTGTCTTTTTTTGCTAAAAATGTTTAAATAAATTTACACTTCAGCTTCACCCAGTGGATTGCCCAACCAAGGCTACACTCTCCACAAAATGTCATGTAGGCAGGGCATAAATAACACCCCTTGTCCTTCAGTACTAGGTAATAAACATCTGAAGCTCAAGTGTTTATTTATGTTTATACATCGAAAGAATGTTACGTAGAAATTAGTTTGGTATGAATGACTTTGTCTTCTCAAAACGGGACTAAAATTATTAATTAAACCACAATCGAATAAAATGTTCTGAATTATTATTGTATCATTATTATATAAAAACGTGCGTGTTCTTCACATTTTCGAGAAAATGGGGTGACTCGTTCTTAATTTGACCATTAAAAAATTTGTGAAAACGTCATCAACTTGGATAATTCTAGTTACAGCACAAAAGAAAAGTAGTTACAGCGTTATGCCAATGCAAGGAAAAAAAAAGAAAGGACCAAGTTCGGCATCGAACCTACAATCGCAGTACCGCAAGTCACCGTTCTCTCCGATACACCCACTGCGTCACGGAGACGTACAAACCGTGTTGGGAATAAAACGTGATTATACCTTGCAAATGTTTTTGGGAAATTTGAACATTTAGCGAAAAAATTGAAAGCGGATTCGTACACTACAAGTATATGAGTATATTTTTGTCTAACATTTAAATCATTTTAAAATGCCATTCATTAAAATGACGTCATCAAATTGTTGGTGGGAATGATTAGCCAAATTTGTGTTTGTATTTAACCATCTACATGATATTTCTAATATACATACAAAATCTATTTCCCAGGGCGTCATTTTCGTGGACAAAGAGAAAATAATAAAACCTTGAAAGTATGATATTTTGCTAATTGTTAAATCTTACTCGTGTTTATTAATTTTCATCAATTGTTTATTCCAAAACATTGAATACGATGTTGAACACAGAAGTTAGTGTGTTAGTGTATGTTATATTTTTGAAAAATATGAGTTCGTCGTTTTAAAAAATTTTAAATGTAATTGAATATCAGGCCAACATCTAACATCAGATTTTATATTAAATAATTTGGTAATATACTTTTACAACGCAGTTGTATTTTCAGCCTAATTGTAAGAATATATATCACAAAAAAATTAATATATCTTATATCATATAAGAGCTATTATAAACCAAGTCAAAATGAGGGGACGACAGACAAACAAACAAAAACAGGGAGCATTTATTTTTTTACAATGTTAGAGCCTAAGAAACGTCAAAGATTAATGAAAAATTTAAAAAAAGTTAAAATACTTCAAAAACTTAAGTGGTGTAAATAAAATATATGTACAGTTGTTTCCAAGGCGTTGTATAAAAGTCATCTTGACAATTTTTTAACTTTATGCATAAAGTCCATCTGTTATAAGAATCCCATAGTCAATCGGTGCACCAGTTTCAGACACACAGACGGAAACAGGAGACTGCTTTCTTCGTACTGTCGAGGTCATGAAACGAAACGAAAAATTATAACGATTTTAATTTAATTTTTTGAAGCATAATTTCCTTTAATCAGATATTCACAATATGCTTCTGTAATCACATTTAAAAATATTTTTTTCTTTTTACCTCCCGAGCGTAAGCAAAGGAAGTATTGTAATTGAGTCCGTCGGCCGACTCTCTACTTTTGCATTTTTTCGACCTATCATGACCCCTAGAGGACGAAGAAATAGGTCTCCGTTTCCGTTTGTCCGTCTGTCTGCTGTCCCGGATTTTTATTAGACAGATAATCTCCAAAAATACTGGGCCGATTGTTGTCAAATTTTGTATTTATATTAGGAATATTATGCAGATGGTGCAACGCTAACCAAAATTTGTCTAATCGTCCTCACCAACAATGTGATGACGTCACTTTAAAATTGCACATAGTAAATGGGTTTTAAATTGTATCAAATAACATAGCCTTACACATGTAGTTTATGACTCCGAATTGAGATCTTACCCGATTCGTTCAGATTTTTGGTAAAAAAATGAAAATTAGGAAACAACACTTTGACATTTAATTTGGAATCTGCAAAACCGAATGCTTTGAAATCTTGCAGATGGTTTACAGTTATGATAAGCATCTGTCTGTTTGTGATTTTATTAAACATATATTTTGAGATTATTGTGTTGACGATAAAGCGCTGATTAAGATTTATCTGTTCATTTGAACAAAAGTGTGATGTCTGTCAAAATTTTGCCAAGTAAAGCTGGTTTGCTTAGAATCGTTTTAATGGTACATCAGAGGCAAGGAAAATATTGTACAACTCGTTGAAGTATAATAATTGTATTTAAATTTTAAAATTTTAGCAAAAAAAGTGCACCTGAATAATTGAAGATGTTTTTAAATAAAATAAAAAAAATGGTGCTTCTTTGTGTTTTGTTGTTTGTGTTTTATTTTATACAATATATTTATTTCTTTAAACTAGTTATAACTTGTTTTTTTTTTTTGCTAACAATGTTTCAAAAAATTTATACTTCAGCTTCACCCAGTGGATTACCCAACCAAGGGTAGACGTCTGGACAATCTCCACAAATTGTCATGTATCTCGTTTCGTTTCCTTTTGTAAACTGACAAGTTTGCTTATTGCAGCCTAAATCTTCGATTTGAGGGCATTCTGCGCGAACACCCGCGCTAAGAGGTGTAGGATTCTTAATCCAGTCAATACTTTGGCTTGGACTCACCTACATTATATCAAATTAAATATAATTTTATTTAAATGTATATAGAACGTACCAAATAAACGTCATCTAGTCCTTGCAAATAATCTACGAACTTTGTATACGCTTCTAAATGGATAGGATTTGCGTTGAAATATGCTTGATGTACATAGAATCCAATCGGTGCTCTGTTGCCGTTGTATTCAACATTGAAGTTGTCAATATACCATTGTACAAGTCCGTCGACATCATCTGGACTAAAAGAATCCTTCTAATTTGTTTTTTATCTAAATTGTTAGTAACTAACATATTAACGCAAGCGTCCACCATACTGCAAAGAATGTTTTGTTGATCAGTCCAGTCGATCACTGGAGCAACCCAAAAACCAGGGATTGAATCTTCTGGACAGAAACCTAATAGGCAGTCTTGAGTTGATTTATAGTCAAGAGTATATGGCCAGAGTCCAGGGTTTCTGAAAGTTTGAGTTGGCCAAGAACTGTCCCATTCCAAGCCTATGTCTTTGCCCAGTTGGTAAGTATTGTTCCCTAATTTTTAAATCAGATTAAATTACTTGGTTTTTAATAGAGCTGAATATTGTCTTTGTTACTAACCAGATAATTGTAGAAATGGTATTCTCATTCCCTTTATTGCTTCTGGTGGAATATTGGCAAATGTAGAGACTATCGTTTTTTCGTCTCCGAATTCTTGTTTCAATTGGTCGATCGTAATATCTCGCCAATAATCAGTCGCAGGTTCATCTGTGATGGAATGAAGTGCAATTTCATGATAATTAAGGTATAAATCGTGAACCTTTACAAAAAATTTAGACGATGCATTTCCGGGCTTGTAGTTTGTAGTTATTTATAAAACTTACTCTGCTGTAATCCGTATAATCATGAGACACGAAGAAAGTTACCGTTATAGGACATCCATCAGGGTTAGTTCGGTTGTAAAAGAGTGAAGCATAAACCTGGTAGTTAAGCTCTTGAACGGCGTCGTCAAATGTCAGATGGACAAACTGAAAGTAAATCGCAATTGTTATTTTTTGTCTGTTGTTGTTTTATTCTTTTGAAGCCTATCTTCGAGATACACTATTTTGTCATCATCTCTAATATTTGTGAAAATTTATCAACATCAGTGTGCAAATTTTTCATGTAGGTAGTTGCAGATACAGTATTAATTAGATTAGAATATAGAAAAAGCGAAAAAATCTTACTTGTGGTACTTGAGCTGGCTCGAGTCCATTGGGAATGTTAGTGGAAGAACATCTACAATCAGGAGGCAGACACTTTTCGTCCGAGCATGGTTCTGCTGCATACAAATCTTTCTCTGCTTGGGGTAATGCAAGACAAGCAGCAGCTAAAATCACAAGAATTATTCGAAACATAGTGAAATTTTATAAGAAAGAATAAAATCGGTATTGAATTTGGGCAAAGAGCTGTCAAATATATATTGGAAAACAGTAACTGATAAAAAAGTTATCTTAAAAATGCACTATATTTAGAAGCGTTTGTTTGAAAAATATAATCGTAAAATGATGCGGTCAATCTGTTTAGGTAAGATTTCAAATGTAGTGTTTTTTAAATCGTTGAACTGTTTGGTAATTGTTTATATGTCGGGTGTTCACTGGAAATCGATATCAGCGAAAATTAATAAAAACTGTATCATTTTAAAAGATCTATGTGATTGCAACCTCACATTTTGATTATCACTTCCGGAAAAACCGGAAATGACGTCAACTTTTTTTTATGGAATACTAGGTATATTGTTTTACTTAAACTACAACAAACAGATAATTCAGTTCTGATTCCATATGATTACGATAGGAATTTATAGGCGTTCAAAGTTGTAGAAAAGAAGTTCTTATTTTGTCTTAAAAGATATTGTTTTTTTGTTAGTATCTTTATGCAACAAAAACTGCATTTGTTTCCCTTTATAGAATGAATAATTTTAATTGAAATAACAACTTGGAAACAATTGGCTTGCACTGCATACTGATCCCATTATTAATAAGGCCGTTGTAAAATTGGTAAATGAAAGAAAAAACACTCGATATGCGTTAGCATAGTAGAGAATTACTTAGTTAATAAGTTAATTCACACAAAACATTTAAAGCACAACATACACATCAGCGGGTTTTCGAAATGTCTAATAATAATTTTTGAGATGACATCATTCACAAAAACTGTATACCTTGAATATTAGGAAAACCAGATGACTAGTTCCTAAGAGAGTCGACATAAATCAGTTTATGTGCCACTTTTAAGAAATATTCTGTTCAGCAAGCCCTAAAAATAAAAGTATATTTTCATGAAAAGTTTATGTTGTATTTTGTTTGCGAAGGAGTCGTCAAAGTTTTGGTAGACATAAGTATATACAGGGTCTTACTAATTAGGTTGTTATTGTATTTAAAGAAGTGTTTTGATTCACTAATTTTAGAGTAGGTGAAATGTGTCGGTAGTGACTCACGGGGTTCCATTATCATTTTGTCATAAACAGTGTGCAATTTTTAAAAGAATTGGATCATCTAGTGGGTGGAAACCGCTACATGCTGGATAAGAGCCTCTTCGGATTTTGGACTACACCTGCCATCACTGGTATCACCAGAGTAGATGTCATTAGATTTCTAAAAGGGATTTCAAGCAAGATTTACTGAATAATAAGTACTTGAAATAACGTCATCAGTTTTTGAGGAGATAAATGGATAAAGTTAGATTATCTTAGAATTAATGTTACGGCTAATTTTATAAACTTTGAAAGTAATAGATTCTGTAATATTGGAGAATACATGTTGAAGACACTTCTAACGTACAGAGGATGATAAACAGAGGTCAGACAAATGACAGTTGAAAGGGAAAACCCAGATTTTTGTACTTTAGTAGTATTTTTACTTTTAATCCTAGTACGACGGATCATATCCATGCAGCATCCCTTCTTAACGTAAATGTTATAAATATTTTTGAATATGATTTTGAAAGCGTCATCAAAACGTTGAAAAATAAATTAACCGCCGAGTTCGATCGGATACCTAGTTTTTTTTTTTTGTTAGAGGCTCTCTTATTATACCCCTGATGATATTGTTTAGTTGATCCCTTTCGACTCCTACATTCCCGGAGGTATGGAAAATAGCACACATATGCCCTGTGCTACAAAGTATATAGACCAATTTCTGTCCTCTCCAATTTTTCGAAATGACTTTGTACTCCCACATAAAAACTTTTTGTCGTCACCATATTTCCAATTTTCAATACGGACTCATGGAGCAACGTTCTACTGTTTTTAACCTTACTTGTTGTTCATAGAACAAGTGGACGTTATCGTCACGGATTTTTCAGAGGCGTTCGACACAATTGATCACAGTATTATTTTAAATAAATTTGTCCTGTTAGGATTCAACCGTGCTTTAGTGTTTTTTTTTTAATCTTACTTAAACGGCAGATATCAATATGTGAGTTCTACGTATTGGGATCAGGTGTTTCAGGGATCCAACCTGGGTCCGCTTTTACTTTTACTTTTTGCCAATGATGTTATTAACATGTACAAACAATCACTAGAATCTGTACACATAAGGATTGTCTTCCTGTAAAAAAATGCCAATAAAATATATGTTTTGGTGCGAACTAAATAAATTAACTCTAAATTTTTCTAAATGCCGAATAATGTCATATTCAAAGAAAATAGGATCCCATCTTATTTGCTTACAGCTGTGACATTTAGCCGCTTTTCACTTATAAAAGATTTTGTAGTAACTTTTCATGGACAATTTAATTTTAATGGTCACGTAAGCATGATCATAAATGTGTTAACGAAATGTTTGGGTTTTATAATCAGGAACATCAGTAGTTTTAAAAATCCATTAGTTCTAACAACCCTTTTTACTTCCCGAGCGTAAGCAAAGGAAGTATTGTAATCGAGTCCGTCGGCCGACTCTCTACTTTTACGTTTTCTCGATCTTTCATGACCCCTAGAAGACGAAGAAATTCTCCCATTTCCGTCTGTCTGTCCGTCTGTTCGTCTGTCCGTCTGTCTGCCGTCCCGGATTTTTATTAGACAGATAATCTCCGAAAGTACCGGACCGATTGTTGTGAAATTTTGTACTTATATTAGGAATATCATGTAGATGACAAAACGCTAACCAAAATTTGTCTAATCATCCCCACCACTAATGCGATGACGTCAATTCAAAATTGTACATAGTAAATGGGTCTTAAATTGTATAAAATAACATAGTCCTACACATGCAGTTTACGACCCCGAATTGAGTTTTACCCGAAACGTCCAGATTTTTGGAAAAAAAATCAAAATTATAAAACAACATTTTGCAATTTAATTTTGAATCTGCTAACCCGAATGTTTTGAAATGTTGCAGATGTTTTAAGGCTCTAAAGAGCATCATAAATCTTTAGTCAAAATATATTTGGTTATCCCCTCCAAAAACTTGATGACGTCAGCTCAAAAGTTTTCCGAATAAATCCTATCTAAAATGTACAAAATATGATGCGTCTGTACTTGTGATATATCACTCCATTCATATTTTTTGCGAATGCTTTGAAATCTTGAAGATGTTTTAAAATTATCATAAGCATGGTAAATTTTTGATCAAAATGTATTTGGTCGTCCCTCCTAAAAAATTTATGACGTCAACACAAAATTTTGCTGAATAAATCCTATCTAAAATGTACAAAATATGGTGAGTCTCTTCTTGTGATTTATCATTCCATTCAAATTTTTTCGATTTGCATATACAGGGTGACTGAAAAAAATTAATGAATGCGTCAATTTATTTTATTGATTTAATCAGGAATTACAGAATCGAATGCTTTGAAATCTTGGAGATGTTTTAAAGTTACCATAGGCATGGTAAATTTTTTATCAAAATGTATTTGCTCTTCCCCCCTAACAAATTGATGACGTCACTCCAAAATTTTGCTGAATAAATCCTATCTAAAATGTACAAAATATGGTGAGTCTCTTCTTGTCATTTATCATTCCATTCAAATTTTTTCGATTTGCATATACAGGTGACCCAAAAAAATTAATGAATGCGTCAATTTATTTTATTGATTTAATCAGGAATTACAGAACCGAATACTGTGAAATCTTGGAGATATTTTAAAGTTATCATAAGCATGGTAAATTTTTTATCAAAATTTATTTGCTCATCCCCCCCCTAAAAAAATTGATGACGACACCCTAAAATTTGGTGAATAAATCCTATCTAAAATGTGAAAAATATGATGAGTCTGTACTTGTGATTTATCATTCCATTTATATTTTTTCGATTTGCATATATAGGGTGACTGAAAAAAATTAATGAATGCGTCAATTGATTTTATTTATTTAATCAGGAATTATAGAACCGAATGCTTTGAAATCTTGGAGATGTTTTAAAGTTATCATAAGCATGGTAAATTTTTTATCAAAATGTATTTGCTCTTCCTCCCTAAAAAATTGATGACGTCACTCCAAAATTTTGCTGAATAAATCCTATCTAAAATGTACAAAATATGATGAGTCTGTACTTGTGATTTATCATTCCAATCATATTTTTTGGATTTGCATATACAGGGTGACTGAAAAAAATTAATGAATGCGTCAATTTATTTTATTGGTTTAATCAGGATTTACAGAACCGAATGCTTTGAAATCTTGGAGATGTTTTAAAGTTATTATAAGCATGGTAAATTTTTTATCAAAATGTATTTGCTCATCCCCCCTAAAAAATTAATGACGTCACCCCAAAATTTTGCTGAATAAATCCTATCTAAAATGTACAAATACAAAATATGATGAGTCTGTACTTGTGATTTATCATTCCATTCATATTTTTGGATTTGCATATACAGGCTGACTCAAAAAAATTAATGAATGCGTGAATTTGTTTTATCAATTTAATCAGGAATTACAAAACCGAATGCTTTGAAATCTTGGAGATATTTTAAAGTTATTATAAGCCTGGTAAACTTTTGTTCAAAATGTATTTGTTCATCCCTCCTAAAAAAATTGGTAACGTCACCCTTAAATTTTGCTAAATAAATCTAAATCTAAAATGCAAAAAAGATTATGGGTTTGTACTTATGATTTATCATTCCATTCATATTTTTTAGATTTTCTTAAGAGGTGGCTCAAAAAAATTAATGAAGTCAATTTATTTTATTGATCAAATTAAAGGCAACACTTATTATTAGTATTACATTGGACCAACCCAATTTGGTAGACACAAAATTTTTTAAAGTAAAAACTCGGTTGAAACATAAGGGTAACACGCTTATTTACATCGACTTTAACATTACAGACGTGCATTTGTTTTGTGCGCTGACTAGGTTCCGCGAATGTGGTGGCTGTTACGCTTGTCATCTTAAATTAAGAATGCTTATACATACACGATTTTCAGTTCCCTCTCATATTACACGCCGGCGCCGTATACGTGAGTAAATTGTT